CTATATAGTACATGGGGTTGCAAAACAGCTGAACAAGACTGAGCTACTGGGCACACACACACGCACACACTATAATCTATAATGAGTGTGGACACCCTCTCTGCCAAGAGTTCTCAAGCTTCAACTTGCATTCAAGTCCCCTAGAGGGCTGGTTAAAATACAACCCTGGGCCTCACCGCTGGAAGCTCTGATTCAAGAGATCTGGGGTGGGGCTTGAAAAGGTGCACTTCTGACAAGTCACAGGGGCTGCACTTACTGCCGCCTCTGGTATCATACACTTTGAGAACTTCTGTCATGCTTTGTACTTGGCTTGCTCCTGGTAGGAAAGACAAATAGTTGTTTCATAATTGAACCCAGGAGGTGTTAACAAAGTGAGCACAGGTATGAGGCCAAACAGTAGCAGGAGGACAAGATGGGAATTGAGTGCTGGGCATGGAGGTGAAGGTACGTGTTCACGCATCTCACAGTTCCCTGAAGGATCCTTTTTCGTAGGGGAAGAACTCAAACAGTGAAATGGTCAGTATTGGTTTGAATTCTTCAGTTGCAAATGACAAGAAAGAGAAAGGGTATTTGGGGCTTATATAATAAATGAAATATTTAAAGACGCACTGACTTCAGCCATGTCTTGATCCAGAAGCCCAAGTGAGTTTTTCTCTAACTTTGTTCTCTGCCTCTTCTCTATCTGCCCCCATCTCAGATGGCCTCTCAGATTCTGGCGACAAGATGAATAGGAAGCAGTTCTTCCCACTGGCCAACTTTTTAGGAAGCCTACTGTGCTATAGGGCTGATCACCAGACAACTGTAGGGATCATCCCCTTCCTGTGTTCCAGCACGGAGAAGTCCAAGAAGTGGACCAATCCACAGTACATTATCCACAATGGCTGTTGCTGCTGCAACATTGAGGGAAGTTGGGACAACATAAAAATAGCACAGGACTATGTTTATTATCAAAGCTTCCTGTTATACATACCCAACCCCATCCAGCTAAGAATACGACAACTTTTACTTTGGAAAGCTTCACACAACATTTACCTCTTTTGCCATCATCAGATACAAAGTGTTTACTGGTGGGCTTAGCGTTGGAAACCTGTCATTTTAATGGGAGAATTTGCCAGAGGGGATGGTATAGACTAGGTGAAATTGTAGCCTTGTAGCCATCATTTCCCCCAGATTCACAATAACTTAAAAAAATCTTTCCCTCTGCTGAAAAACACCTTCCTAGCTACATAGTCTAATAGGTGATTTTAAGGGGACATAACGTTATTTTGAGTGCTATTTTCAGTCCCATAGAGTTTTCATTTAGTTCTTCATGTAATAGGCACATGTACAAAAGCAATTAAACTAGAGAAAAGGCAAAAAATAACAGCAGGCAACTTGCTGCCTTTGGTTACTGTGCTCCCAATCGGGAACACTGTCAGTCACCAGGGGGGCCTACAGAATTAAATGAGTTGGGGGGTGGGGTGGGGATTTTTTTTTGGCTGAGTCAGCATCTAAATATAGGAATCCTTCTGAAGGACTGGAGGTTTCTCAGAGGGCTATGCTGGAGGCAGGGAGTAGACTGATTTTTAAAAGTCTATCCAGGAAAAAAGAATTATTGCAAAATGTGCAAATTTCCTGAATTGTGGTTAGGAAAAAAACACAACTGTTTGGCTTTCCTCTTTGGGACCTAGTGAAGTGAAAGTGTCAGTCACTCAGTCACAAGACTCTACGCGACCCCCTGGACTGGAGCCCACCAGGCTCCTCTGTGCATGAGATTCTCCAGGCAAGAATATTGGAGTGGGTAGCCATTCCCTTCTCCAGGGGATCTAGACATTGTCTTTATTTCATTAAGAGAAGCCAGTACAATAATCATGATCCTAGAGTGATATAATCTAAAGTATGAGTTGGGGTTATGTTTTAGTAAAGTTGGGTTTTAAGTAATAGGGACTAAATTCACTTAAGTATTAAGGGGATGTGTTAGAAAGCCACTGGAGATTAACAGAATCAAAGGAAGAGGAATTGCTGGAATTAAGGGATTCACTACTGTCAAGCCCACTCACTCATACACTCTTCCCCATCATCTCTCTCTGTCTTGGTGCAGATATGCCTGGCTTTATTCTCTCCTGCTGCAAACAGATTTCCACAGATAATGGAAGACAGCCACCAACAGATTCTAATCATGTCCTCCAGCTTCTATGACCCAAATGCAAGACATATTCTCTCCACTTGAAGACACAGCCCAGGAAAAAAAAAGGAGTTCACAAAGTAGATGAGAGATGGGTGACCTGAAGAGTAAGAGAGGGCCCAGCAGAGAGCTATGTTATGGAAACCAGAGCCGGACGGAGTTACAAGGAGGCGGCAATGGTCAAAGACATCAGACAGCACAGAGGGGCCAAGTAGAATGGGATGGAAAAGTTCCTTACAGCATTATTAACACAAAAAAGTTAAAGTCATGTTTATCTGTGCACTTAATATTGCAGGTGTGTAAACATCGCATCACAGCCCTTCCCTTGAATTCTGGTGCTCCTGAGCTATCACACGAATTTGGTTAACTGCCCATAGATGTGTGGCTCCATGTAGTGGTGGCTCAAAAGTATTCACTAACATTAAAAAATTGGATAAAGGACCCACAAACAGCAATGAAATAAATCTCAGAGAAGAATCACAGTGGGCCGAGCATAAGTCACACACCTGCCAAAGTGAAAGAGTTGGCCAGGCTAGGGTCAATAGACACATCATGTCTACTCCTGTGGGCAAGGACCAGGTACTATGACCAACAACCCAACCAGGATTACAGAATTGGAGTTGGGAGAAGCTGGTTCCCAAGGAAGAGAAGGAAGGAAGGTGTGTGGATAACCAATACAAATGGTTACAGGCACACAGCCAAGGGTAAACACATCCCAAGATCGCCAATAACAGCCTACCCAGGTTTCCTGCACTTCAGGCATATTCTTTACCAACTGAGCTACAAGGGAAGCCCGAAAAGGAGTGCAGCAGAGAGAAAAAGGGATGAATTCCATTGGGAGTGTGATTAGGGTGAGCTTTGTGATGAATCCAAACTTACAGGATGGCTTTGAAGGAAGCACTGAAGTTTCCAGGAGGACAAGATGTGTTCCCAAAGAAGTCTCCTCATCTTAATTGACCACTATGCCCAATTGTACTGGAGAATATTATGGTTTGCAATACATAGGACAACAGTTGGAAAATACAGAGCTAGTTAAAATTTCACACAGAAACTAAATCTTATAGAAATTAAGTGATTTGACCAAAGTGTTATAACACAGCTAGAGAGAGACAGGCTTAGGGTGAGACTCAGACTTCTTGGTGATGTAAGTCGAGCTTCTTCCATTCCTCCACATGAAACCTGAGTAGCCAAGTCAAGAGGCAGTCTGAGCCCTTCCTTGGTTTTCAAGAGGCACAGTCTAGAGGGCGAGATCCAACCACAGATATGGTGTGCCCCAGGCATTACCAGCTCATTAGCCTTGAAGAATTCTAAGCAGCAAGTGCTCATTGTGACTTGTAAATTCACAAACAAGTTGGAACAAATCTGTTCCTGAAAAACACAACTGGCCGCCACAGAGCACTGAATGCTTACCCAGGTTACATCCAAAACTCATGGACATTGGGTTGCTTTTTAATTAAACTGAGGGCTGAGTTCTAGAAGGGCTATTTCCTTAGCAAAGCTGTGACTCAGGGTGAAGGCAGGCCCTGTGGTTTCCACCAGGAAACAAAACGCTAGGCCAAATGTGTGTCTTCCTCGTGTGAACCGGTAGGGCAGAGAGCAGAGCTGACGAGGAGCAGAGCTCTGAGGAGATGACAGCCTGGAAGTTGCTGGGCTGAGTCAGCCACTAAGGCTTTCGCATCTCCCTGCCAAGGCTGAACTGGAAACCCTGCTGACTTCCTGAGTAGAGGCTCTGAAGTCCTATGCAACGACAGCACAGGACTGGGCCAGATGGGCTGGAGGTTTTCAGGCGAGGATCATAGGTGCATGCCCTCTTCCACACTGCCTCCTGTGTACAGGCGTCCCTGGTTCCTCAGACACAATCCCTAACCAGAAAGCCATGGAAGGCAGCAGGTGGCCCTCACCTCTGCGCACGTGCCCTGAGCAGGAGTGCCAGGAAGTACACAGCATCATCTTTCCCTGTGAGGAGGCTCTGAGAGAAGTGATAGAGGAATACAAACCAAGCATCCTGTGTTTGTGGAGGGCTAGTGAGAGGCAACACAAGCCACCCCCCGCCCCCCAAAAAAAGTCTCAGTGTAATATTCCGTCACTCCAGAGAAAAGATCTAAGCTCACAACTGTCAAGAGTTGGAGGGAAACTGTCAAGAGCACGATAAACCAGCCGAGGACAATGTGAAACTAACCATCACTCTTGCAATGGGTTAAAAGATCCAAACCGTCATCAGAATAAAAAAGAAAAACAAAGACTGTCAGGGCCATGACATGGAAAGTCCTGAGCCACTGGAGCCCAAGGTCTCTGCCAGCCTCTCCTTCTCACCCCTTTTGACTACATATACATATGCTACAATAATGCTATTAGTCTGAAACAGGTTGGAGAGCTTGGAGCCACTTCTTGCAAAGGACTGGGCTACTGAGTAACATTTGCTTGACTCTTCTATGTGTGGTTTTATAGGCAGATTCCTCAAGGTATGGATCCTGGCTTTGCTGCGTGGTCTAGGATAAGTTATTTAACCTCTGTAAAACACACCTCAAGAGTCTTGAAAAATGATGATTATATAGGAGAATATCTATAAAATACTGAGCATGGCACTGGAACACAGTAGGTGCTCAAAATGGTAGCTGTTAATGCCATTTTCATTATTAAAACCCAGACCTTGCCTTTGAACAGCTCACAGTCTAATAAGAAAAGCAAACCTAGTTATGATATAATAGAATGGTTTTATAAGTGTAGGTTGTGGTTATTTAAGATAACATTTGTGTAATCTGTTCCAGGTAGATGGTGACAGCATTTGCAAAACTCAAAGGAAAAAAATCACGAAACTCTTACCAGGCTAGGAGAGTGTTCTAGATTCTAGAACACATCAAGATCTTTGTCTACTGTGGAAAGGCAGAGATGTGAGATGCTAGCACCTTCAGGCAGCTTGGATCTCAACTTTGTCTGCACCAGGGACACTTTCAAAATTCCAGTGCCCATTCAACAAATATGCCAATTCAATGAAGGATGGATAGTCTGTTAAACAAATGGAACTCGAACAGTTAATATCAAAATATGCAAAACCTCACAATATAAATAAGAACCAACTCAAAATGATCATAGATCTAAATGCAAGAGCTAAAACTATAAGACTTTTAGAGTTAACACAGGAGAAAGCCTTCATGGCTTTAGGTTGGGCAAAGAGTTTTCAGATATGACACAAAAGCACAATCTATAAAATGAAAAACTGATATCTTGTACATCATGAGGAATTAAAAGCATTTGCATTTCAAAAAGCACCAATGAGAAAATGAAAAGACAAGTCGAAGACTGGGAGAAAATATCTGCAAATCACATGTCTGATAAAAGTCTTGTTTACAGAATATATAAAGAACTCTCACAAGCTCCTAATAAGAAGACAATCTGATGAAAAAAAATGGGCAAAAAACTTGAATAGACGTCTCACTAAAGAAAATATACAAATGGCTAATAAGTACTTGAAAAGATATTCAATACCATTAGTCATTACGGAAATACAAATTAACAATTAAAAATACTGACAATACTATGTGTTAGCAAAATGAAACCCCTAATCATTGCTGATAGGACTATAAAATGGTACACATTGGAATATAGTTTGGCAGTTTCTTTAAAAGTTAAACATAAACTTACCAAATGACTCAGCAACTCTGCTCCTAGAAATATACCTAAGAGAAATATAATACCTAAGATAAATATAAAAGACCTAAGAGAAATATAAACATATTTCTACACAAAGGTATGCCCATAAATGTTCACAGTAACATTATTCATAATAACCCCAAACTGGAAACAATGTAAACGTCCATCAACTGCTGAATAAATGAAATGTGGCATATTTATAGGGGGGAAGTACTGTTCATCAATAAAAAAGACCATGCTACAACACAGATGAACCTCAACAATATTATGAAAAGTGAAGGAAACCAGATGAACAAGAATACACATAGTCTGATTCTGTTTACATGGATGTCCACAAAAGACAAATGGAGAGAGATATAAAGTAGATTAGTGGCTGTCTAAGGCCAGACAAGAAGCAATAACTGACTGCAAACTGGTAGTAGAAAATTTGAGGGGTGGTGGAAAAATTACTATTGTAAAACTACATAATGGTAATGACTGCATAATTCTATAAATATGAATTTTTAAATAACTAAGTTTATTATAATGGGTAAATTTCATGCTATATACAATAGATGTCAATAAAGCTGTTTTAAAAATTCAAGTGTCCAAGATTCTCTCCAGATCCATTACACCAGAATCTTTGGGGCTGGGACCCAGGCATTGTAATTTTTTAAAGCCAGATACTTAAACTGAACTATCCAAATGCTTGCTTTGGACTTAAACCATCTAGATGTCATCAGGGATACTACTGATGGTCAGTATTACATCTTATCAATTTGGGGTAATATTGCAATTGGAAATAGGGTCAGATAGTTGAGATCCTGAAAACTCAAAACCATCAACTTAGCCTCTCACAGCTGCTATAATGATAATCAAATATTTTGTACCTGTTTAGGGTATGTTTGGCTGCACGTAATAGAATCTTATTTTCAGCATCTTAAATCACAGTTACTTTTCATTAACAGATAGTCTGGAAGTAGGCAAACTAAGTTTGTTTTGGAAATTCAGTTACGTCATTAAGGACCAAGGCTCTTTACATTCTTGAACTTTATTATTCATCCCATGTGCAGGCAGCATCTCTCCTCATGGTCAGAAAATGGTTGCCAGATCTCCAAGCTACTCATTCTTACATGACAGTATCCCAAGAAGAAAGCTGGGGCAGGAAGGCTGGGGGGAGTGACAGAAGTTTCTCTTTATATACCTCTCTCTTATTAGAAAGGAAGGAGAACTCTTTCTCAGAAGTTCCAAGAAGCCCATCCTTTATAACATCTCTGCTGAAACTGGGTCAAGGGTCCACCTGTTAGCAAGGCAGAGGGAAGACTGGCTGCTAGAGAGGAACAAAAGCATCTGCTGTGTCCCTTGTGTTCATATGGTGTTTTACAGTTATGCATATGTGGCAGACAATGTTCCTAATTACAAGCAATAGAAAATGTTCCTGGCTAATTTAACCAGAAAATGACTTTATTCATTGGATTTTGAGTAATTCAGAGTTGTCAGGATAGCTGAAGAATGAGGCTTGAGGTTAAGCTGCCAGAAACAATGTCCAAAATCATGAGCATTATTCTAATGAAGAAGCCCCTGCTACTGTCCCTCGCCACACAAAACACCCTCAGTTTGCACCATTGCTGTTTCTCTGCTGAGAATTTTATCTTGTTTCATTGTTATTGCCATGGCCATCAAAAAGAGAGAAAATGTGCTACCCAACCTTGGTTGTTGTGTCACTGACTCCCAAGTCAAACTGTACTGTGAATCATCTGACTGGTGGAGCCTAGGACAGATTATTTTACCTGGCTGCTAAGGAGTCTGGGAAGATGAGTATGTGGCATTTGGGGTATTTCTAATGGAAGAAAGTCTTTATCCTCAACCAAGACTTACTAAGTGGAGAGTTCCTGAAGTAGATAGAGCTTTAGATACAAGGGAGCTAGAGTGAATTACATATGTCCACCTCAGTGTTAACATCCCATCTGATTCTCACAGCCTCTTGCAGTCATCCTTATTTTATTGAAAGAGCTCAAAGGTGCCTTGCCATGTTCCAAAATCTAAGCTCCACAGTAATACACAAGTAAGCAAAGACTAGTGTCCAAGACATGCACTGGGCACTGTTGGACAAATTAATAGAAAACAAACCAGATGTCCATGATGAGGTATTTGCTAATCAACATTTGTTAATAAACTGTTCTACATTTATACAATGGAACTCCATCTAACATTTTAAGAAATGAGGTAGTTTTTTATGTGGTGATAAGAAGAGATCTTCAGGATGTATTATTAAGCAGAAAAAGAAGTTTCAAAACAATATGTATAACTCCAATATAGTTCTAAGATATTAAACTATATTTTGTGTGTGTACCAAACGATTAACAGTGGTTGTCTCAGGGTATGTGAATAAGAACCTTCACTTTAACTACTAGATATTTTTAAAAAATGTTTTACAATAACTATATTATTTTTGTAAGCAAGAGAAGATGTGACAAATGAATTTTTAATTGAGCCAACAGATTATTTGCTAAACCATAAAGGCAAGGGTCTCAGCTGTTTAGAGGATGGGAGGGTGGAGATGGGGAGACTGTCCATGTTACTTAAGGGCTCTTTCACCTCTAGGGCTGAGATATTGAAATGAAAATGAATGAGTCACTCTAAGAGTACAGCCTGTGGGAAAGGGAAAAGGCGGGTAGCTTGGCACTCCACGAGAAGCTGGGTCCTGAGCCACTGGGGCCAGAGGGGTCACCTGCAGCTGAAGTCATGGAACACTGAGGGGGTTCCATGCAGCGGAAGAGTCACTGCTGGGTCACAGATCTGGAGAGGATCAGCAAGAGTGACTAAGATCAATGCCATGTGTCAAAGAGGCTGGACCCTCCCTGCAGACTGGGTAAGAGGAACTGGGCTCAGGTTGGGACTAGGCTTTATTCTCAAAGCACAGCTGCTCAGGCAGGAAGTTGCAAGTTATGATGTGGAATATTTTTTTCTTTTTAATTGCAAATATTTCTATCACAATTTATTATTGATGAAAATTGTTTCTAGCTATGGGAATCTTATATTTTAATACCACAGATGGTACAAATATATGTACCAAGCCCCGAGAGAGAGGCAGGAATGCTTAGGGGAGAAGAGTGTAGACTGGACTTGGTTTCTTAGGCAATGTAGACAAAGAGTTGACCCTGGGTGACTCCAGAGGAGAATCTCTGATTGAGTGCTTGGCTTTGGGCAAGTCTTCCTGAGGAAAACGGCTTCAGTACTGACAGGAACATCCCAACCCAGGCTTCCCCCTGATGGCTGTATGTATAGACCTGGGCTTTAGTTGGGGGAGCTGGGGTGGTGGGGACCTTCATGCTCTAACCTGGAAATGCTTAGGCTTTTGCTATAAAAGAACAAAGAAAGAATGGCTACAATGTACCATCTTGGGCTTTCCTGTTGGCGCAGTGGTAAAGAATCTGCCTGCCAATACAGGAGACATGGGTCGGATTCTGGATCCAGGAAGATTCCATATGCCACAGAGCAACTAAGCCTGTGAGCCACAACTACTGAGTCTGTGCTCTAGAGTCTGGGAGCCACAACTACCGAAGCCCACGTATTGAACCCATGCTCCCCAACAAGAGAAGCCGCCACAACAGGAATCTCCTGCTGGGAAACTAGAGAGTAGCCCCACCCCCTCTCCAGGATTAGAGAAAAGCCCCCACAGCAATGAGGACCCTGCACAGTCATAAATTAGTAAAACTATAAAAAGTACGACTGTTACAGTAACATAACAAAATGAACCAACTCCAGTTTGTGCTGTGAGTCCTGGGCAGGCAGCCTTGCTCCTCACAGGTCAGAATGCCTGACGCCTGCTGCTGGGTGCTCCCCACAGACCCCCAGCCCTGGGCTGGCCCGGCCTCTATAAGGAGGTAAGAGCCCTGAGTCGTGACGGAGACATCAATGGTCTAATGCAGAGGCCCCCCAGCCTTTTCTGGCACTGGGTACTGGTTTCACGGAAGACGATTTTTCTACAGACAAGAGGGCACAGGCGGGATACAGTGTTGGTTTTGCCACTTACCTCCTGTGCAGTGCCCCAGTTCCTAACAGGTCCTGGACCAGTACTGGTCCGTGGCCTGAGGGTCTAATGGATGGGGGCGCTTACCTATCTGAAGCAAGGTCCTGGAGCGACATCCCTCCACCTGCAGTGCAGACGGCAGGCGGCAGTGGCCCCCGAACATGGCGGCAGCCTTCGTGATGGGGGAGGAGGAGGTTACCAGTCACTGGGGGAACTGACTTCCGGTCTTCTTGTTGGTTACCAGGGAAACTAGCAGGGAGGCACACCCCTCACTGCCCCTATATCTACCAGGTGATCTAATTAGAACGATAACTAACTGGGGCTGGAGGCAAGTACCTAGGTGTTTTGATTCGGCTGTATGATGAAGGGGGAAGGCCAGTTAGATGAGGAGGGTAGAGCTAAGGCAGGGATTGGTCGAGCAGCGGAGGTACAGAGAACAAGGGAACGGCCTTCTTGGGTGGTCTGATCGGACACGCACTCAGCAGGAAAGGACACCCTGGCTGAAGGGTCCATACGTTATCATCTTTAGCAGCTCACTCTCCCCACTCCCCGCCATGTGTGCGACGTCTGTCAACACAGGTGTCACAAATCACCAGTGAAGCACTGCGCTTACAGAGACAGAAATCTAGAACAATCACCTGAGGCAAGGAAGGAAGAAGGCTTCTCCGGAATGATCCTTCACCATCCATTTGTGAATTTCTGGCCAAGTATTGGCCAGTTCTCACGCTAAAGACATGACTTTGTGGGCAGTTTATGGAACAACTTGGCATATATAACATAGGGGTTTTTTCCTTCTCCATTTTGTTTTGTTTTGCTTTCCAATATCAAAGTAATTCTAAGCCACTAGACATAGCTTCTATCCCATGACTTCAGATGAACAACGTCCAGATGTGCTATGTGTAGTCTGTTCAAAATATAACAGTTGTAAAGATGTGAATGTCCATCCCCTGGGGACAGTATAGCATAACATTCCACACAGGAGCCTGGCTGCTGGGATAGAATTCTGACTCTACCACTAAGGCAAGCTTCTAACTTCTTTGTGCCTCAGTTTTTTCACCTGTAAAATGATGATAATTATAGTACCAACCTCATAGGGATGTTGTGAGGATTAAATTAGTTAACTTTCTTTTTTACAAAAGAGTATGTAATTAGTAGTGCCTGCATAGTATGGAGAAGGCGATGGCACCCCACTCCAGTACTCTTGCCTGGAAAATCCCCTGGACGGAGGAGCCTGGTGGGCTGCAGTCCATGGGGTCGTTAAGAGTCGGACACGACTGATCGGCTTCACTTTCACTTTTCACTTTCATGCATTGGAGAAGGAAATGGCAACCCACTCCATTGTTTTTGCCTGGAGAATCCCAGGGACGGAGGAGCCTGGTGGGCTGCCATCTCCGGGGTCGCACAGAGTCGGACACGACTGAAGCGACTTAGCAGCAGCAGCAGCATAGTAAGTGTAAGCACTGTTATTATTGAAGAATCCTGTTGGCTGTTCCTACCGGACCTCACAAGGTTGGCGTGAGTAGATGAATGGGCCTTGGGCATCATGGTGCAAAGCTCAGCTTTACAGATCTAGAAAAGTGATCGTCTCAGTGAGGTCACAGTTAAGGGGACCTAGGGCATTATCCCATGCAGACTAGATTCACAAACTCACAAAAGGGTTTATTTCCTGTCTGCCAAAGTGTTTACCTGCAGCAAGGCAAGGGGGCCAATGCTACAGGCATTCATGTAGCAGTCCCTCCTAAGAAAAGTTACATGGGAAACTGAGTTTTAACTCAAAGGTTACTTGTGAATGCAGCAGCAGAACTGTGCTGACTTAATGCCATCATCCCCACCATAGGAGGAGAATACTGGGTCCTTGTGTACAAAAGGGGATGTGTCTTCCAGTTGCCTGGAGAGGAAACTCCCTCCAGTGAACAGGACTGACACAGTTCTTGTTCTGGTTCTACACAGAATGTCTCACTGTGATGACATGCTTTCTTTGAGACTGTGGACCAAAAGGAAGGTCTAAAGCTTTAGATAGGCTAATATTGGACCTTGGGTACATCTGAAACTTTTTAGACATTTCAGCTTCAAGTGAGCTTCTTTCAAACTGACCTAGGGCAGAGTGGAACTTCCATTGCAGAATAAATGAAAATTTGGATGTATAATAGGATGAAGGAATTTATATTTACTTGAACTCTTCTAAAGGACAGCCTTTTGCAGAGTCGAAGACTGTTTTATGAGCCACTTGACATCAATGCATTTGTGTTGGGGGTGGGCAGTGGATATGCTTAGACAAAACAGATTGTCAGTGGACTGCAGTCTGAGGAGTAGGATACTAGTCACTACAGGGCTTTCATTTAACAGAGCTGGAAGCCAAGTTTAAACAAGTGAGTGCTGTGTTAGGGTCAGAAAGAGAAGTAGTACCATGTATTAGAGGGGCGGCCAGGAAGAGATGGACTTGTCAGATGCACATGTTTGAGGCTGATGCCACACAGGGATTGGGGCTATAAAGCAAACCTTCTCTTACTTCATGTCTTACCTACCTCTCCCGGTGCAGGACACTTTGCAGTGCGCAGCGCCCAGGAGTCCTGAAATGCAGTCTATTTTTTGAGCCCCACTCTCCATCTTCCCAATGATTCTGTGAGCTCAGCTATTAGTCTTTCTGTTAATTCCCTTTTAAATTAATTAATTAATTCATGGTGAAGCTACTTAGAATTGCTTTCTGTTGTTTGCAGACAAAAATTTTGAATGATTCATTCTTATTTTAAAATATATCCTCTCCTTCACTGTTCTTTCCTCCCTCTCTCTCTCTCTCTGTTTCTTTTTCTCCCTATTGATTTATACAAACACACAATGACAATAAGGAAGAAAATCAGGGCAAAGAGAAAATCATTTAAGAATAGAATCCAGCAAGAAGTGACATCAATACACAAAGTTCATGTTACACATTTCCATGCCTTTTGTTTAGGTGAGAGCACATTAGAATCTAAGCTTCCTAGGAGTCAAAGTGAAGACAGGAACAACATTTGTATACAATTCTGTGCCCGTAGGGAAGAAAAAAACATAAACTAGTAGCTCTAGGAAGCCATGGCTGACCTGACACCAAAGAACAATTTCTGCCATGGATCCTCCTACAACACAGAATGAAAAAGTGAACGTCATCCTGCATGATATCTATGCACTAAATACAATACAGGTTCATAAAACTGCAGAGCAGAAAAACTGAATCTAATCTCACCCTTTCACCAAAGCATAATTCAGTCAGATCACCTCTGTGGACAATAAAGCAATATATCCCAGTTATTGGGATGGGTCTGGTTTAACTTAGGGACAGATTTGAAAGAGTAAAGCTTCAGGCAATTCTCATTTAATAAGGTATGTTTTCAACTGATCTTTGGAAGGATACCGAGCCACATTAAATTTCAGATTATACTTTCTGACAAGTACCTGGAATGCAGCTCTTCAGTGTTTGGGGGTTAATAATAAACTCATTATGTTTCAACAGCTGACTGAACTGGGATTAGGGATAACATATTTTGTGAGATGTTAAAAATCTGAGGAGGTGATGTACTTGAAGGGACAACCAACCCAGCTTTTATCAGAGGTAGATCAAGGCAGTACCCATGAAGAAGGTCAAATCTTCTTATATACATGTTCACATCAGCACTACTCATTACAGTCAAAAGGTAGAAGCCACAAGGTATAGATGAATGGATAAACAAAATGTGGTCTACACATGCACTAGAATAATAGTCAGCCTTTAAGAATGAAGGCAATTTGACATAGAGCACAGCGTGGATGAACATTGAATACTTTATATTAAATGAAATAAGCCAATCACAAAAGGACAAGTATTTATACAATTCCTCTTCTATGAGATGCTTTGAGTAGTCAAATTCATAGACACAAAGTAGAATGATGATTGCCAGGGGATAAGGAAGAGGAGCACGGAGAGGAGTTTAATGGGTGTAGAGTATCAGTCTGGGAAAGTGAAAAGGTTCTGCAGATGGATGGTGGTGTTGGTTGCACTCCACTCCAGTATTCTTGCCTGGGAAATCCCATGGACAGGGGAACCTGGTGGGCTGCAGTCCCTGAGGTCACAAAGAATCAGATACAACTGAGCACACACATACACATTCGCTCTAATACGAACCATGTCCACACAGGCTGGAGAAAGCCTGTTATCTTTTAGTACACTCCATGAATCTTCAAGCAGGGGAAATTTTACCCTGTATCCCTTTGCTGGGTTTTATAGGCTTTGGGGGGCTAGTACAAGACAACTGAATTGTAACTAAAAATAGCCTGCCCCACTTCTGCAAACATCCTCAAAACTTACATCCAGGCTGAGGTCAGAAAGAACATGCATGAATTTCCTTCACCATTTCATTTTACTTTATTTCCTTATTAGTAAACATTATTGAAAATATACTATGTATCATACTGGCCTAAAAACTGGGGGTTTAAAGCAATTCACAGAGAAAATAATTGGTACATTTGAGTAGGAAAATCCCCTTTTGATTTTCGAGTCTCCATCTTCAAGCTTTAGAGCACAAAGTCTGTGGCAAGTCAGTTCAGAAAAGCCCCATTGGGCCACCTCCCACAGTTCTCCAGGGAAATTATTACCCAATCAAGCCTGTTCCACATTCTATCCGCTCCCCTCTAGCCCTTGCTAATTGCTCCTAATTACATACCTCAAGAATTCCTCTCTCTCTGGTGTGTGTGTCCGGAAAACACACTGTGTTTTGTCTTTCCCTAGGCTAATTAGGATTTGTCGAAGAAAGCAACAGGGCTTGGAGCCCTCTGATCTTCCGGAGAGGCCCTGCCCTCATTTGTCTTCTGCACTGAATTTCCTTGACTCTGTCTTTCTCTGTTTGGACACCTCAGCTTCACTGGGAGCCAGGTGCGGCTGTCCTACAATCAGATGTAAACAGTCTCTCCTCTCTTTGTGCAGGTTCCCTGTGCCCTGTAGCCTAAAGAGTTCTTGCTGAGTGTGCTGAAAGCTTAATTTATGCTGCTTTCTCCTTTTTGCTTTGCTTTAGAGCATGCTGTACTTTATAAAGTTTCAGTGGCATTTTTCAAAGCAGAAAACAGTCTCCATGTATTCTTTATATGTGTAAATGTGAGCTCCTCTGAATTTCTTACACAATGTCTTCAGGTACATTGGTACATGCAATATTTATTAACTCACTCAAGTTTCTATCTATCCAACTTAAAAAAAATTGATTTATTTTTGATGGTCATTAAAGGCAAAATAACTAGGTGTTTCACACCTCTGTGT